TTTTTTTTTTTTTTGTAATTGGACTATTTTTTTCTTGTGTAATCTTAATTTAAGGTATTTTGGTCTTGTAGTGTTCTTTCATTTTCATGCATTTAAATATATTATTATAATTTAAAATATTAAAATTTATTTATATCGAGGATAGAATATAAAAAATTATATTGAATGAGTGGGTAGTGGGTCCCACATATGCATTTAAATGAATGTATAGGAATGTAGGTGCGCGTTTAAATGGAAATAAATTTAGTAGAAAGATGATGTGAATGATAGAGAGTGTTACGTCTTGATTGAATACATGAATTTTGTGTTAAGGGATATGGATGCGCTAATTAGATAGCCCGTAATTATGTAGATTTGTATTGTACAAAACAGAAGAGAGTAAACTGTAACATAAAATAATAAGTGCAAGTGATGAGTAAAGCGATGCCATGTTAGCAATTATTATGAAATTTGAACTTCTGCCCGATTTATGACTAAACTGATAGAAAACACACCCACTTAGTTAACTAAAGAGCATATTTGTTTTGGAATATCTGATTTTCTCTAAGCAAAGAAAACAGTAAAGGGTAATTTTGTTCCCGTTGTTGTTTTCTATCACAGTTACCACCACAGAACTAGCTACAGTGGCTCTGTCGATTCTCCGAGAACGAAAAGACAGCTTCGATCTTATCATGGTCGACACAAACATGCCAGAAAAGGGCTGCTTCAACTTCATCAAATGCGTACGACGCATCAAGGATTTCCCCATCATATGTAAGGCTCGCATTCGATACACTCGTAATTCTTTTTATTTGAAGTGAAATATCAGCATTGCATAATTAATTAGTTGGTCTAGTCTCTATTTGTAGCCAATTTAGCATATCTATAATTAGGATAAACTTTAGTGGTACTCTAATAATTTTCTTGTTTTCTGCAAAATTTTCATTTTATGACAACACTGCATTCAGTGATGTCAACAGAACTAGACAAGGACATGGTTAAGGAGGCCATGACAAAGGGAGCTTGCTTCTGTCTGGAAAAGCCAATTTCATCGAAAAATCTCAAAAACGTGTGGCAGCACGTTTGCAGAATGATCGCGCAACAAAAAAACACGGTTAAAACGGGAACTTATAGTAATAATCCCGAACGAGCCAATTCAAAAGGGGATAAGGTCTTGGAAGATGACAGCAATGCCCCCAACACTGTTGATCAGAAGATAACAGGAATGCGCACAAAAAGGTCCGATTTGTCAAGAGAAAATGACGAGCCACATAATTTAAAGAGGGCAAGAACAGAGAACGAAGGTGGTGGTGAGCATGAAAGTGTTAAACCCAATAATTTGCAAGAGCTTAAGTCATCATTATCAGTAAATTTGAGGGAATCAGAAGATAAAGGAGAAGAGGTTCTTAAAAAGCAGTCGCTACTCAGACCGACTCCGAACGGTCATCTTAAGTTGAATGGAGTTACTGATGCAAAAGGAAATAAGAAGTAAAAATACACTAATTCAGGTAGATCACAAAGAGAAAAGTGGTAAGTGGGTTGTTGTAATTAGACATAACCTAGTTTCTTTTACTATTATTACCCCTATATATTTGGACTATCCAAGTTAATTGATACGGTTAATGATTTTACTAGTGCTGGTGATTTTCTGCCTCGGCATGCCTTTGTTATATCTAAACATGTGTCCCAGAGGCATATCGAGAAATTCTGTTGGAGATGTCAAAGGATCCTAATACAACTCCAACACTTTCACATCATTTATGCCAACCATCATGTGAATATAATATGTTAAGTACCATAACTCCTTTGTACGTATTTCATACATGCGTGAACGCTAACAAAAGAAAATCCGGTCACGGTGTGGCTCAATATTATGTTTGTTTTATGTTCAAGCTCAAAAATGGAAATTGACTTACGAAAAACCTTCCTTTACTTTTCCACCTTCTACTTATAAGCTTTTTAACCCGAGGCAGAATTCTTGTCACTAACTCAACAATGATATCCAATTTGTCGAACATTTATCAGCTGTTATTAAAACACACAATACTAACCCAATATATTAGGAAAAAAGATGACACATGCACTCATTTTTTACATGGCTGTTCAAGACACAACTTGTAATAGCCTCCCTAAATATCTCTAGGCCAAAAATAGCTCAGGGCTACTTCTAAGCAATACGGCCAACAGTTTTGTGACGAGGGTTAGAATTCAAGAATTTTTCAGGCAAGCCATCATAGTAAGAGAGAGAATACGGGCAATAGCAACTCTGCTGTACTTCCTACACAAAATATAAGTACGAGTAACTGCTTCAACTATCTATGTGCACCCTACTGTTGGAAATAAGATTCAATGCCACTACCCATTTGAGGACATATGCTCGGATATGTGCTTACCGATTACACGGGTCTTGCCTACACGCTATCGGTTTCAGACTGCCTTGCATGATCTCTGCTGCCCCCCTGTGACTCAGCAAGCATATTAAGATACGCATGAGGCGCCCAACCTGCAATTTTTCCACACGCATTGTTAGATCTTTTGGGATAGCATAGGAAAAAAATTGACATTCATCATCATATGCCTCGAGCTCAAAGTGTTCCAAGCATATCCCAGTTCTAAAATCTTAGATGAGTACAAGCAAGAGATAAAATGTGAAAGAGCACCAAAAATAAGAAATGGAACATACCCAGTATACGACAACGATGCCCTATTGCTTTGGTAAATAATTATAAGTCCTATAACTAAAGATTTGGTGATAAAGTAACATATTCTTACTGATGCAGGCATAATTAAAAGCATGTAGATGAAGCCAATGAATTATGTACATTGATATGAGAAAAGAGATGGTTCAGAAAATCAGCAAGCAAGGGTGTCATAGTCAAGAGAACATATGTTAATTACTTCACATATCAATAAGGGTTCGAGTTCATCAGTAATCTAAAACTTTGTCCCTGTAACTAAGAGCTTATATTTATTATTTAGATTGAAAGAATGGCATACCATCTATGTCATACGGTGGAGGAAAGAATTGCAAGTAACAGAATGAAGCAATTGTCAACCCTGCACATATAGCACTCAAGATGATTAAAAAAAGAATACACAAGTAAAGCACTCAATTAAACTTGGTAATAGTCTGAATTCATATTGTAGATACCTAGTAGACCTCCAGCAAAGACATCTTGCCAATGGTGCCAATAGTCATCCACTCTTGAAACTCCGACTAATGCTGCCAGTAGTAAAGGCACAAACATAATGCACAGCTTTGCCACATGGCCTCTACGATCAAACACTTTAATTTTACCACACAAGTACCAGGCTAGGAAGCCAAGACCAGCGAAGGACCCTATAAGTAGAACAACTCAAAGGTCATTAAGCTTCTTCACACAGAACCAAAATGCACCAGACCTTTTTACTAATTAGAGAAAAGGTAAAAAAACAACAAAAAGCTAATTCAATGGAACTCGTAGAAAGCGATAAGAATAAGTTTGGTTGATGAAATCGCAAGACTTAGCAGAAAATGACAAAGAAAAACAGAATCCTCTGTGAACACTGAAGGAGATATTGATGACACAGAGGCAAAATTTACCAGCAAAAGTACTTCACTCCAGCAAAATGTCCATATAATTTCCAATATTATTGGGTAATATATACAAACTACACGTGAGATCGCTCATTACTTAAGACACTAAAGCCTACGCAAGGAGTGATAAAGGAAATACAGGTTTCAGTTTTCATGTGGTGAATATACAGGCGTAAACATAACAAACACATCAGCAACATAACCTCGACAAACCAAGCTAAGGTAGGTATCACATACAGATGAAAAGTATTGTAGCTCTCAAGCAATTCACAAATATGAGCACAGGTCTGACTCACATGAAGTATGTCCGCTGGGGAAACTTTTATGACCTTCTCTTATAACACTCCTTGATCCAGTACATTGGACATCCCTTGTCACGTTATGAAACACCTATCCAACAATAACACAGAATTACAGTTACTACCTGCAAATAACGAGATGAACAGGAAAAAATTAGGCAATTTGATTAAAGTGCTATCAAAAGACCTCACCCCTCTACCATCAGGGAAACAACGCCAGAAGAAGTCAGGTCGAGGGCGACCAACAGCATCTTTGATTGCATCAGTAAGAACAGCAGTTATAAGTACAGAAAAGAGCAGGCCTGCCGAACAACACAAATAAGTCAAGAACTCAAGATTATAGCAATTACAATCTACATCTGCAGTAAAGAAGTGAAAAGGACGGGATTAGTGAAAAGACTGTCGTAACTCATACCCAACATCGCGTGGTGCAAATCATAGACATCCCGTCTGATAAAGTAAAAGACGAGGATGACTGTGAAAGGCAATATTATAGCGATTATCTGCCACAGATTATAAAATAGCAAACACTCGTCATTCCCAATGAAACGAAGATAATGGTACCACGACTTTTAAGCATGTCAATACAAAAAAAAAAATACCGGAACAGCCCAAAAGGGGATGGTGTTCTCTTTCAACGGGTACATCAGGTCAGTCATCATGTCTTCACCAACAAACCGGTGAAATGGCTCTATGACATTCAGAACGGCCACTATCACCACAAGAAGCAGAAGAATAAGCCAATCGTGCATGTGAAACCTGGCTACTTGAGCACCATGGGATCTTATTGTGTGCGCGCCTAACTGAATTTCCGGCATTTTCTTAACACCTAGGACAAACTGAAGTATACATCCTTTAAGAATGATCATAAACTTGAACTCAAAGTAGTGCTAAAACAGCATATAACATCACCTACTTTAATCATGAGAAAAACCCATCATAAACCAAACATCAGAAATTAAAAATAGTTGCTTAAGAAAAATCGCAACAACATAGTTTTTATTTAGCCAATGCCACTTTCAAGCTTCAAAAATCCACACAATTACTGTTTCCAACCCAAATGAAGCAAAAAAAAAAAAAAAAAATGTGAGTATTCAAATTCATCCACCTTCTAGCTTCACCCAATAAACCATACCCTCACCATACATGTAACAATACACTTCATTAATTTCTTACTCTAAACAAGTTATATAAAAATTTACCAGTTTTTCCAAGAGGGGTATACATAATACATACTTCCATCAGTTAATAATTGACCACTAATACAACAGCTTAGTACTCACGAAAACCCAACATATGATAAAACCCCAATTATAAGAACAAAATCTCAGCAGTCAATCCTCACAAACCTTAAAACAACGTAGCCCAAATGTTAACCACCTGCGCAGAGCAAAACTCTGTAAGTGCGGGCGCTTGTCGTGAGAGAGGACAAACTTCTCCCAAATTATCAAATGATTTCAGAAGAAACTAACAAAAGAATATGAAAAAAAA